TCTATTCTGAGATGGGTTTCAGTGGGTAGAAGTTATAGAGTTGAATTTTGTTCTATTCTGAGATGGGTTTCAGTGGGTAGAAGTTATAGAGTTGAATTCTGTTCTATTCTGAGATGGGTTTCAGTGGGTAGAAGTTATAGAGTTGAATTTTGTTCTATTCTGAGATGGGTTTCAGTGGGTAGAAGTTATAGAGTTGAATTTTGTTCTATTCTGAGATGGGTTACAATGGTTAGAAGTTATAGAGTTGAATTTTGTTCTATTCTGAGATGGGTTACAATGGGTAGAAGTTATAGAGTTGAATTTTGTTCTATTCTGAGATGGGTTACAATGGTTAGAAGTTATAGAGTTGAATTTTGTTCTATTCTGAGATGGGTTTCAGTGGGTAGAAGTTATAGAGTTGAATTTTGTTCTATTCTGAGATGGGTTGAAAAATAAAACATGTGTGTTATATCTATGTATGGATTGTAAATTGTGTTTTTTAATTTCAAACATTGCAACTCAGCTTTTTTACATTTGTTTATCCTGATATGATGCAAGTGATGTCCATTTAGTCCAAAAATAACCAAAAATTAATATAATTACCTTTATAAATAATAATAATGTTGAAAATTGTGACATTGTTTGTATTTTTTCATTGACTGTACATTGTTTATTAGATCAAGGTGACTATCCTGCTCGATGTGATTTTCAGGATGATTTATGCAACTGGATTCAGGTTAACACTGATGACTTTGATTGGCTGCGTCATAAAGGGTCTACAAGTACGCCAAACACTGGTCCGAATAGTGACCACAGCGGCAATACAGGTAATTCATTATACAATTTGTACATTTTTTTGGTTACTCAAAGATATAAATAAATCCCTTTGATCATAAAATAATGGCTTTAAAATGAATACAAGTAGTTTAGTAGATGAGAAATTCAGAATATTTGGTACTGTTCTTTTTGTAGTTTTCAAAATGTCACTGGGTATGAATTGCTTTAAATACAGTAATAAATTTTCTTACATCTAGTCACCATGAATATTTGTTTAATGACAGACATTTTTCTTTTACATGGATACATCTAAATTATATCTGTGTTAATTATGTCCAAATCTAAATGATATCACATAACAACAAATAATAAAACTAAGTTACACCAACAATTCAAAAGCAATATATTGGGTTGAATTAACTAATAAAAAACATTTAGGTCAAAACTGAAGAAGGAAGTTAAACTGAAATACTAAAGATTTGTATTTGTAAATCTCTGCTTGCTCACTACTTGAAAGCTGTTTTGTGTAATAAATTATGGGCAATTATTTATGTTATTGACTTGCCGTAAAACTATAAGACCTTTGAACCTCAGGCAAATAAACTTTAAATATGTTCTTATGTTTTTACAATGAAGTAGTGGAAAAATTATGTTGTTTGTATTGTATATATAGTGGTGATATATATATTTATAAAGTATTTTTTATTCAATTTAATAGTCATTGAAATTTATTCTGGAACCAAAATCAACTTTGTGACATGAAAGTAGACAAATGTCATAAAGTGATGTGGCTATAGAGGGCAGTAAATAAATGTCATAAAGTGATGTTGCTATAGCGGGCTGTAAATAAATGTCATAAAGTAATGTGACTATAGAGGGCAGTAGATAAATGTCATAAAGTGATGTAGCTATAGAGGGCAGTAAATAAATGTCATAAAATGATGTAGCTATAGAGGGCAGTAAATAAATGTCATAAAGTAATGTGACTATAGAGGTCAGTAAATAAATGTCATAAAGTGATGTGGCTATAGAGGTCAGTAGATAAATGTCATAAAATGATGTAGCTATAGAGGTCAGTAAATAAATGTCATAAAATGATGTAGCTATAGAGGTCAGTAAATAAATGTCATAAAGTAATGTGACTATAGAGGGCAGTAGACAAATGTCATAAAATGATGTGGCTATAGAGGGCAGTATACAAATGTCATAAAGTGATGTGGCTATAGAGGACAATAAATAAATGTCATAAAATGATGTGGCTATAGAGGGCAGTAGATAAATGTCATAAAATGTTGTAGCTATAGAGGGCAGTAGATAAATGTCATAAAGTGATGTAGCTATAGAGGACAATAAATAAATGTCATAAAATGATGTGGCTATAGAGGGCAGTAGATAAATGTCATAAAGTGATGTAGCTATAGAGGACAATAAATAAATGTCATAAAATGATGTAGCTATAGAGGACAGTAAATAAATGTCATAAAGTGATGTGGCTATAGAGGACAGTAGATAAATGTCATAAAGTGATGTGGCTATAGAGGTCAGTAGATAAATGTCATAAAGTGATGTGGCTATAGAGGACAGTAAATAAATGTCATAAAGTGATGTAGCTATAGAGGACAGTAGATAAATGTCATAAAGTGATGTGGCTATAGAGGTCAGTAGATAAATGTCATAAAGTGATGTGGCTATAGAGGACAATAAATAAATGTCATAAAATGATGTAGCTATAGAGGACAATAAATAAATGTCATAAAATGATGTAGCTATAGAGGACAGTAAATAAATGTCATAAAGTGATGTTGCTATAGAGGACAATAAATAAATGTCATAAAATGATGTAGCTATAGAGGACAGTAAATAAATGTCATAAAATGATGTAGCTATAGAGGACAATAAATAAATGTCATAAAATGATGTAGCTATAGAGGACAGTAAATAAATGTCATAAAATGATGTGGCTATAGAGGTCAGTAGATAAATGTCATAAATGATGTAGCTATAGAGGGCTAAATAAATGTCATAATGATGTGGCTATCCTCGGGGGCGGAGCTACGTCACAGACGTTCCACGTTGCTAAGACACGCACCACTGTACATACATTTATATGGGCTCTTTTCGCGCTGCTGTCGAACGCCGGTCGAGCTGGTGAAAATTCGAGAAAACAACACAAACTCAACTTTAAAGTAATCCTGAACAACCAAATTTATATATGTTACACACGTAGAGCTAATCTTGTTATACTGTTCAGGGGAGTCTCAACCACCATCCCAAAGTACCGTTTTCTGCGAGTTTTTGGCCTTTGTTTTCACCGCCAGGGTTGCCAAGCAGTGAAAATGCCCGGATGTCCGCCCCCGAGGATAGAGGACAGTAAATAAATGTCATAAAGTGATGTGGCTTTAGAGGGCAGTAGATAAATGTCATAAAGTGATGTAGCTATAGAGGACAGTAAATAAATGTCATAAAATAATGTGACTATAGAGGGCAGTAGACAAATGTCATAAAGTGATGT